GTTTGGCATACATTCTAGTTGGGGAGAGACCTCTTGCAGTTGATGTTCAGGCCTTGGCCAATCGGTTCGTGAGGCTAAATATTTTGGAGCCCAGTCGGTTATTGGCTTGTGTGATTTCTCGGTCTTCCTAATTTGATCTCATCAGAGAATGCCAGTATGATGATCCTCATTTGCTTGTCCTTAAGGACAGAGTTCAGCACGATGATGCCAGAGATATGACCATTGGTGATGATGGGGTGTTGAGGATGCAGGGTCGGATATGTGTGCCCAACATATATGGGCTTCGGGAGTTGATTCTGGAAGAGGCCCATAGCTCACGGTATTCCATTCATCCGGGTTCCGCAAAGATGTATCAGGAACTAAGACAACATTATCGGCGGAGGAGAATGAAGAAAGGCATTGTGGAATTTGTTGCTCGGTGTCTCAATTGTCATCAGGTGAAATATGAGCATCAGAGACCGGGTGGCTTGCTTCAGCGGATGGATATTCCAGAGTGGAAGTGGGAGAGGGTCACCATGGACTTTGTAGTTGGGCTCCCATGGACTTTGAAGAAGTTTGATGCTATTTGGGTTATTGTGGATCGGCTGACCAAGTTCGCGCACTTCATTCCTGTGTGTACTACCTATTCTTCAGAGCGATTGGCAGAGATCTATATCCGGAAGATTTTTTTTTTTCATAGTGTCCCAGTTTCCAAAATTTTAGATAGGGGCACTCAATTTACTTCACAGTTTTGGAGGTCTGTGCAGCGAGATTTGGGTACTCAAGTTAAGTTGAGCACATCTTTTCACCCTCAGATGGATGGGCAGTCCGAGCGCACTATTCAGATATTGGAGGACATGTTGCACGCTTATGTCATTGATTTTGGGGGGTCATGGGATCAATTTCTATCGCTTGCAGAGTTTGCTTATAACAACAGCTACCAGTCGAGTATTCAGATGGCTCCATATGAGGCTTTGTTTGGGAGGCAGTATAGATCTCCGATTGGTTGGTTTGAGTCAGGTGAGGCTAGGCTATTGGGTACAGACTTGGTGGAGGATGATTTAGACAAGGTGAAGGTGATTTAGGAGAGACTTCATACAACGCAGTCGAGACAAAAGAGTTATGCTAACAGGAAGGTACGAGACGTGTCCTACATGGTTGGTGAGAAGGTTCTGTTGAAGGTTTCACCCATGAAGGCTGTTATGAAATTTGGGAAGAAAGGTAAATTGAGTCCTCGGTTCATTGGACCTTTTGGGGTACTTCGGAGGATTAGGGAGGTTGCTTATGAGCTTGCTTTGCCATCCTGCTTGTCGGGTGTGCATCCAGTATTTCATGTTTCAATGCTGCAGAAGTATATTGGGGATCTGTCTCATGTTCTGGATTTCACATGGTTAAGTTAGATGGTGATTTGACTTATGATGTGGAGCCAGTTGCTATTTTGGAGCGTCAGGTTCGAAAGTTGAGATCAAAGGATATAGCTTCAGTGAAAGTGCAGTGGAGAGGTCGGCCCGTTGGAGAGGCTACCTGGGAGACCGAGCGGGAGATATGGAGCAGATATCCTCACCTATTTGAGGTTTCAGGTATGTTTCTTGACCCGTTTGAGGACGAGTTTAAGAGGGGGAAGATGTAATGACCCAGCCAGTCATTTTGGTAAGGTTTGAGATATTTAGTCTCTTTTGAGTAAGCTTAAGTTGAAAAAGTCAACCGGATGTTGACTTATGTGAATTAGGACTCGGATGTAAATTTCGATGGTTCAGATAGCTTGGAGAAATGATTGGGACTTAGGAGTGTGATCGAACCGTGTTTTGGAGATCCGTAGTAGATTTAGGCTTGAATTGGCGAAATTGAAATTTTGGCATTTTCCGATAGGTAAAATTTTGATATAGGGGTCGGGATGGAATTTCGGGAGTTGAAATAGGTCCATTGTGTCATTTGGGATGTGTGTGCAAAATTTCAGGTCATTCGGGCGTGGTTTGTTAGACTTTTTTATCGAAAGCGAAATTCAGAAGATTTTGGGAACCTTAGGCTTGAACCCGATGTGTTTTGGTTGATTCGATGAGGTTTGAGGTGTTTTGAACATTTGTATAAGTTTGAATGGTGGTATATGACTTGTTTGTGCTTTTGGTTGAGGTCTCGGGGGCCTCGGGGCTAATTTCAGGTGGTTGACAGAAAGATAGGAATTTGGAAATGGCAGTTGATGTTTTAGGACTGCTGTCATAACCGCATCTGCAGTTGGGTGGCCGCAGGTGTGACCCCCGCAGATGCAGAAAATAAGTCGCAGAAGCGGTAGGGGCCAAAAAGAACTGGAGCCACAGAAGCGGTTAGGTGAGCGCACCTGCGATAGCATAGGTGCGGGTATCTTATCGAAGATGCGAAAATTGGGTGTTTAAGTGATTTGCATAGAAGCGCACCTGGGACCGCTGGTGGGGGTTCACAGGTGCAAGGTTGTGACCGCATATGCGGTTTAGCTGGGGAAGAACATATAAATTATGGACTTCGCTATTTTTAGCCTTTCTTCACCATTTTAAGTCGGTTTTGGAGCTTTTTGGGAGATTTTGAAGAGGAAATTCAAGAGATCTTCGTTGAGGTAAGATTGTTGAACCAAAAACTCATTTCTATGGTGTTATTTCACGGATTAGGCTTGTAATTTATGGAAATTAAGAGTTAAAATTAGAAAAACTAGGGCTTGAGATTGGAGACCTTTAATCAAAGGTTTGAGGGGCCATTTGTGTTCGGATTTTAGTGCTTTTGATATGTATGAATTCGTGCGGAGATAATGAGTCTAATGATGTAAATTTATCAAATTTCGAGACGTGGGCCCAGGGGTCGGGTTTGGTTAATTTCGGAATTTGCGTGGTATTTTGATTACTTTTGAGTGGGTTTTGTTCCCTTAGCATATTTTGATGGTTATGCACTGATTTTAGCCAGATTTGGAGCATTCAGAGGTCGACTCGAGGGGCAAAGGCATCGCGAGCTAGAGTTTGGACCAGATTGAGGTGAGTAATGATTGTAAATGTTGTCCTGAGGGTATGAAACTCCGGATTACACATCGTTGTGCTATGTTAAGGTGACACACATGCTAGATGACGAGCGTGGGGTCGTGCATCGTTGGGGATTGTGACTTAGTCCATCCCGAATGAACGTTTTACTGTGTATTTGATCGAAAATTGTTTGTACTCTGTCATGTTATGTTCTACTGTTTTCATAACTCAGCCATTTTTACTATGTTTTAACACTTTAAATGATATTTTGGGCTGAGCATCACATTTTACTATGCTCCAAGTGGCTTTTAGAGATTTCTGACTGAGTAGGGCCGAGGGCTTGTGTTGTGAGGGTTATTACGGGATCGGCTGCATGACGCAGCAATATTGTACTGATTATGATTATAAGGCCGATGGCCTGAGTTGTACGCCACAAGGTGGCTTGAAATGAGGCTGAGAGCCTATTTGATTATGCCACGAGATGGCTTGATATTGCCTTGGGCCGTAAGACACCCGTCCCGGAGTCTGTACACCCCTAGTGAGCGCGAGTACCTAGTGTGATATGTGATATAGCCCGAGGGGCTGATGTTGTTCCATGTTATTGCCCGAAGGGCTGATTCTGTTGATATTGTGCCCGAGTAGCTGATTTAGGTGTTTATCTATTCTCACTGCTTTATCATTTACTTGTTTAACTGGTAAAAGAGGCTTTAAAGAGATTTTCACTGTTTTATTGCATTGTATTGATTTCATACGGCCTCATGTAGCATTATGTTGTGTTTTACGTGCTTTCTTATCACTCAGCCTTCATTTATTCTTATTACTCACTGAGCTGGCATACTCACATTACTCCCTGCACCATGTGTGCAGATTCTGGAGCTTCGGGTCCTGCTAGCGAGGGTTGATAGCTTCCAGCAGATTGTTTGGTGTCCACTAGGTAGCTACTCGGCGTTCGCAGCCTAGTGTTTCTCCTTCCTATCTTCATTTTCATTTGTACTGGATTTCTTTGTAGCAGACTATCTAGACTCTTCCTACTTTTAGATAGTTGTTTAGATGCTCATGATTGGTGACACCCTGATGTCAGGCTGTGTTATTTTCCGCAAATTGTTCTGTTCCACTTATATTTTGGGTTATGTAGAATATTAATCAATTGAATTATTATTATATCTATTTAATTAATATTGGGGGTTTGTGTCGACTGGCCTTGTTTCACGATAGACTCCATCATGACCGGGTCCGGATTTAGGATCGTGACAAGATGCCACCAACATAACTAGCATTAAATCTCCTTTCCCTAATGAGATCTTCTTTGGTAGTTCTTCTTAGAGAAACCGTTCCAATTGGACAACATGCACCTTTCAGCTAGATTATGGATGAGCTATTGGATGTTGAAGATTTTTTGTCTCCCTTTAATAAGGAGAAAGACGGTTTCATCTGCATGCATCATTCTTACTTTCACAATACAAGTAATACAATAATGATGGATAAGGATCTGCATACCAAATAGATATACCTGAGGATGATAAGTATGATTCTTCAGTAAAAGATGATCAAATACAGGTTGTTGATAGAAATCTATACAGTCGTAAATATCTCCATATCCGGTCTACAAAACAAAATAACTTGTTACTAATTTTTAAGTATGTAGCTTATTTATGTGTAACATTTTTTAGCTCTATGAAAAGGACATAACTGATAACAAAACGGATAGACCAATTACTTCGAGAATTAACCAGAACAAAGAATAAGAATCTACCTTAATAGTTTTGACTGCGAGCTTATTTAAAAGCTTTAGTTGCCTCTCCAATTCTTCATGGTCCTTCTTTGATAAGCCTTCAACTTCATCATGGTTGAGAAAAACCATAGTTGCAATGAAAATCTGTACAACGCTTAGATGCATTCTTGTGGTCTTCATCCTACAATAAATTTAAATTTGAGGTATTCTTCCCCTCCAAGAATGATCCACTCACTACACAATTAAATACTCACACTATACACATCACTAGGGAGAGTCCAAAACAGAGCAAGGAATGGAACCTGAGAGAAGAACCAACAAAGATATAAGAGTCATGAAGAAAGGACTTACCAACGAGAGCGAATGAGGCAAAAGAAGTTAAGAAAGATCTTTAAAGCCGACATGGTCATGGTCGCTCTAATCTAGGGGAATTGTCCCAAATTAAACCTCAACATAATTATGTTCGATTTAAAATATATAAGATTTTGGTTGGGAATTAAAGCCGATGGGCGTGTAAATTATGTGCATTTTTATAAAAGCAAATTGTAAGATTTTCCTTGAATATTTATCACCTGACCAAAATGGATTTTTTGCATTTTCCACCCCTAATGTATTCACTTTTTTTTTAATTTACACATTATTCTATTTTTTTTAATGATTTACACCTCAATGTCCTTAGTTTCTTAAAAAATCATTAAAAATTCACTTCTATAATTAATTACAATCGCAGTGGAAACGATGATGACTTTCTCAGCAGGCATATTTCTTTAAATGGTGGTAGTGCCGAAGAGGAGATTAATCTGGAGAAGGAGAAGATGGTTTTTTTCCTCTACTATATAAAGAGGGTCTTAATCATTTGTAATGATCTTACATTAAGGCATATCAAAGCAATATATCACGTTTTTATCTCTTGCAAGCTCTATTGTCTAATTCATACTTTCAATAGTTTGTTCAATTGGTTCGAGAGTAACTAGCTCGAGGGCCGTAATTGTCCATCACATTGATTTACTTTATTTTACTGTAATTTCTGTCATTAGTTCTTATACTTATCATTTTTTGCTGAGTGAAATCACATATCCTTAAAATCACTTACAAGTTTAATTGTTATCCGATTTTAAGGATAAACACACAGCTGGAACTTCCCCCGTTGGAGTTTGTCCATAAACCCCTTCACATGTTACTCTTATCCCTACCCTCTTGCTTTTAAGTTTGTCCATTTTCACCCTAATCATTGTATCTATTAAGATTGTCACCGGCAACCAACCTTTCCTTTGCAGATCAGATTGCAAGGACGTGACCGAATCAATATCAAGAACTTGCGACCCCGTCAATAGAATGAAGTGCATAATGGTAATGTTTTTTGGACTGCTACTGATCCCGTTAAATGATCCACTGGCTAAAATAACTTCATTTTCCAATGCAGTTAAGGTGTAGAGTATGAGCTTGAAATTTATGGAGCGCTGGGTGATGTCATCGGGGGTGGTAGTGAGGCTGAAGTTGGAGATTTTTAGTGAGTAGATTGAGAATCTGGGACGCTGAGGATGGTAAAGGACGTAGAAAATAGCACCGATAATGGCTGCAAAGAAGAGGATGATGTCGATGCTAAGGGTGGACCACAAATAGCATTTGCAAAGCAAACGTCGACAGCTGAAGCGGAGATGGTTGTGTTGGTGGTAGGGGTTTGATGTCGTTCGGTAAGGTTTTGGGTTCCTGACGGTGGTGGCGGTTGGCTTTGCAGCTGCGGTGGTGGTGATAGCAATAGGGGTAGCTCTGGTGGTGGTACGATTTGGCTTGATAGTGCCCGTCGTGAATTTACGGCGGCCGCAGTGGAAGTGGGAGTGGCAATGGTGACTTTCTGCATATTTCTTGAAATGGTGGTAGTGGCCAAGAGGAGATTAAAAAGTGAAGAAATCTTGTGACGAGAGGGTAAAATTCAAAGCAGGAAAGGCTTATAGTGATAATACCTAGGCAAGCAAAGAGGAGGAAGGGCGTAAATGTTTCCGGGAGTTAAAAATCAGCATAGATTTGGAGACCCAAAGGCTAACCATTTTGGACAGCTTCCTGGAAAAGTTTTAAAGAAATTCTACGAAAAAAAATATTTGCTTAAAAGAAAAACGTGTTTTGTTGGGTCGTTTTCTTTTTTCCTTTTCTATTTACGTTTATGTATTTCCAAAAGGTTCTCGAAAGATACAACAACAACAACAACAACAACCCAGTATAATCCCACACGTGGGGTCTGGGGAGGGTAATANATTGTAGAAATATTCACAACTCTCCCCTAACCTACAACCTTAATACTCGACCTCCATAATTCCTTGTCTAGGGCCATGTCCTCAGTAATCCTAAGTCGCGCCATGTCCTGTCTGATCACCTCTCCCCAATACTTCTTAGGTCGTCCTCTACCTCTCCGCGTGCCCACTACAGCCAGTCGCTCACACCTCCTCACCGGTGCATCAGTGCTCCTCCTCTGAATGTGCCCGAACCATCTGAGTCTTGCTTCCCGCATCTTGTCCTCTATGGGGGCCACGCTCACCTTCTCTCGAACATCTTCATTCTTAATCTTATTCATTCTTGTATGCCCGCACATCCACCTCAACATCCTCATCTCCGCTACTTTCATCTTTTGGATGTGTGAGTTCTTTACCGGCCAACATTCAGTTCCATATAACATGGCAGGCCTAACCACTGCTCTATAAAACTTACCTTTTAGTAACGGTGGCACTTTCTTGTTACACAAGACTCCCGACGCTAACCTCCACTTCATCCACCCCACCACTATACGGTGTGTGACATCCTCGTAAATCTCCCCGATCCCCTGAATAACCGATCCAAGGTACTTGAAACTACCCCTCTTGGGAATGACTTGAGAGTCAA